GCGTTTTTTCCCTTTTCACCGCCAATACCCGCCCATGCCTGCCCGTGATCTCCACGCAGTGCAACCGTGCCTGCCCTGAAATCCACAAATAAAATTTATGTCGGCCCATACCGAAGGCCTACCTGCCCATAACCTGCCGGTTACAGTTGGGTACGGTCGAGTACGGGCAACAGTTACCCAGTTGCCACCTCTGGTACAAAGGGAGTGGAGGGGAGGGTGGAGGGTAAGGGATAGAAGGCGGAGTTCTATAGGAGTATGGGGCAGGGGAGGTAGGGGCAACGGGAAGGAAAGAAATAAGTGGAGGGCAGGATAGAGTATGACATGCAAGGAGCAGAGGAGAGGTGTATGACGGGCTTCACAGATTTTTTTTTTTTTTTTTTTTTTTTTTTTTTGGGAACCAACGCCTTGCAGTTGCTTGAAATTAGACCATACAATATTTCATCTAGCAAAACTGGATGCATGCCGGCGGTCCTGGTCATGCTACAACTATCTTCACTGCGTTGGAAACACACAGTCAGTCTTTATCAGGCGTCAAAATTTTCACAGAAGCATTGTGAAGATAACTACATTAAAAAAACCTACTTTACGGCGTTTACGCTTGATTCAGCTAAGTTCGCATGAAAATGGCAGCAGTACAGCAGACCCAGACTCAGAAGGAACTGGCTGGTGTTTACCCGCACTTCATTTTCAATTCGCTGCCGCTATTTTATTTTTATTTTTGTTTTTTGACTTCCAATCCTCGTGCGAAGTAAACAGTTATTCACAGAGGACTGCAGAAGCCGTATTCTGGCACGGAAGCATCCATTGATCAGCCGGTCAGCAACCCATCCACCAATTGACCAATCCATCAGCCAATTGGAATTTGGCAATCATTATTGAGTGGCAACAGCTACTGGAGCAGCAGTGGTCGCTGGCAGAAGCTTTTTCAGTAGTGACTTCGAATTGCCAGGTGAGCAGTACTTAACAATCTCATCAGGGTAACAGCTATTAATTGCATCCACATGTTCACGGAGCTTTGTTCCTGGAGCTGCCTGAAGCTGCTGCACCTTGGCGCTTCACAGATTTCTAAATATTCACAAAAAAAAAAACTATGGCGAGTGGCCAACCCTACAGACCGGACAGGACTGGTTCGGGTGTGGGCTATGGAAGCACCGCATCCAATTTTCGCAGTCACAGTTGCTGCATCGAATGGAACGACGCGGACAGATGTCACAGGCTACGTGGATCGTACATGCTAGGAACACAGAGGCATGTCGACCGCAATTATAGAGGCATTGTCGTTCCAGCCCTTGTCTACAAAGAGGATATGACATGTCAGGGTGCCGTACACGAGTACAGTACTGACTGTCATCGTATGTATGGAAGCAAAAACTCGCATGGACTATCCCTTCATGTGTGTATGTGTGTGTGTTTGAAATTTTCACCACAACAGCCCCTATTCTACCCAGATGAGCAGATCTAAAATCAAAGCATATTCAATCCTATCACAGACAACGGAAGCCCTTGGGTTGAGACAATCCAACAATGAAACAGTTTCACCTCTATAGCAAGCAACATGAAGTACAATAGAAGCATGAAAACCCCTTTCTTGAATGTGTTCTCATTTGCTTTCTTCGGGGTACCCCTTTCATTTGTTCTTGCAGCTCCCCCTTTACCGTGCCTCTCACACACAAGGCTCGCCATGTTGATTGCGGTTGAGCGCGAGCTGCCCACATCCCCGTGTGCCATAACGGCCCACTTTGCACACTATGAAAGGAGGCAGAGCAAAGGCAAAGGTATATTCCTGTTCATTTCTCCTCAGATCTTCAACTTATATTTTGTCTGTTCTTTTAATGACGCTCATTCATACGTATTACTTGTAATACACAAGAAGAGGGAGGAAGGAAATGGGAGGTGGAGTTCTGACAGGGTTCTAAATAGTGACCGCTGGGACAGACCACTCTAGAATGGCACATGAAAAAAAAGCGTGGGGGAGAAGACGAGGGTGAGCATTGAGAGGGCGAGTGGGGACTGATGTGAGAGCACGTACCTGGTCGTCGTGGAGGTCTGCATGAGCGACATCTGCACGTACTTTGGTTGCTGGTGCTGATGTCAACCGGTTGCTTTGTCATTTCAGTAGGCTAGCATAGTAGCTGTATGATCGTAGTCTGGATGATCAGCGCCGATAGGAGGAAGAGCTCCGGGTACATTGTTGATGGTGGCGGGAGAGGGCTTTGGTTCTCCTTTGGTGTGATGATCAGTGCGTTTCTGTTTTCTGGATAGCTTACAACTATCTGGCTTTCAATGCGATTTTGCAATTTGGAATTCTTCAATTCTGTCATTTCACTATTGCTCATTTTCCTTGCAATTTGGTATCGGAGCTGGTTCAAGCCGCTCCGCTGGCTCCAGCGCATTGGTGATTTGGTGCTGTGCAGTGAGTTGCATGGCAGTGAGGTTGCTATGGTGCTGGTGGTTCAGGCGGCCCAGTGTTGAGTGGACGCGCCGGGAAGGCTCTGTGGCGATATTGGGATGAACGCTGAATGATGAGAGCTTGCTGATGTGGCATTTAAGCAGAGGTGGAACTGCATTGCATTGTGTGTTGTGCCGAGGCAACAACCGGTCATCATAATTGCATGCCAGGTCAACTGGCCAGAAATATGTGGTTGGGGGGAGCACTTTGAGGTACGTTGCTCCTTACCTTATCTTCTCATTGCTTCTTACCGTGAGGAAGTGAGTTCTGTCTTGAGATTCCTCTCATCGTGAGGTGTCGTGTGCGCTCAACCTTGAGAGTCGACATTCATCCCGGGGAGCATGCTGGTGGGAGAGGGCGTTGCCATCTGAAGGACCCTGCACGAAGCACTTGGATCACGGTCACCACGCCAACCCACTGGGAGTAGAGCACACATGCTTTGCTGCTTTGTCCTTTGGTTGGTTCGCATTGCTGCTCAATAGAGGTTGTCTTGGGAGGCCAGCCCTGAGGATTGATGAACACCGGACCTTCATGAAAGAACCTCCAGTGTGGATAATATGCTCGCGCTGTACGCGAGACTAAGAGTAGTACAGACAAGGCTGGCCGGTTTTGCCTTGACCTGGGGCACAGGGGTGGGCCGTCTGCACACCTTTAGACACAACGCTCTAACCAGAGCTTACAGGACGTCGACAAGAAGGATTGAGGAGGGGGTTGATTCTAGTTGGCTGTTCAATTGTCAATTTCTGCATCATCTCCATTCAGCATACATTCTAGCAAATGATTCTATTTTTATTTTTGATTAGTCAGCTGTGACGGACTGCTCACATCTGACAGACTGCTGTCGGTAGAACAGTTATCTATTCTTGCTGG